TAGGTTTGGATAAAAACTTTACTACCCTCATTTACAAGGTAACAATTATATATTACACATTACCTATTAACATCATATTAATATAGTAAGGTTTTTGAATTGGACGTAATCTTTATTGACATAAATATAAACAGAAATCACCAAACCCCATTTTGTAAACATTCTGAAACAAACCTGTTTGCTTGGGTTTTTGAAAGTACTACGTCTTTCATTGAGGTAAAGCTACCTACAAGTGTTTTATGGTGTCATGTTTGCTAGCTGGTGTTATTTGCCTTTGTTTACTTTTCCGGGTTGCCCTAGTACACAAACAAAGCCCATGGCAGAAGTAGGAGACATAGAAGAAAAAGGTGGAGTTCGGACTCATGGGAGTCGGGTGCTCTTCATGGACAACAAGAACGTCGAACAGTACAAGGAGAGCAGCCAGCTCTCCTTCTACGAGCAGAAGCTGTACCTGGAAGCAAAAGCAGAGGAAAATGACGTATCCTTGCTTCACAAATTCACTCTGATTCTGACTGGTGCATTTTGGCTTCTATTCAGCATCACATTCGTCTGGTTGCACCAGAAACTGTTCAGTAGCATCGGAACTGATTCGTATGAGAATGCAATGGGATGGGCAGCAGCCAGGGACATTGGAATTGGCTGTGTTGTTTATGTGCTGATTATTGGGGGATTGAGACTGTTTTGTAGGAGAATGAGATTTAGGTGAAAATGAGAAGAAAAGTTTTGCCCAGATGGAAGGATGCCAATATTTGTTCAAGACTGAGAAGGTAGAAGACTGCAGACAGGGCGTATCACAGATCAAGGCGAACATTTCTGTAGTGGAGAGTGTGGCTGACTTCGTGGCAAAGACACTTGGGCCATATGGGTTGGACAAGTTGTTCTACGGCAAAAAGATGCTGCTTACGAATGATGGAGCAACGATAATGGAAAACATGGAGTTCAAACACCCAGTAGCACAGCTTCTGACCAGTCTATCCAAATCACAGGACCAGGAGGTGGGAGATGGAACAACAAGTGTGATTGTGCTGACTGGTGCACTTCTCACTCAGCTTAAGCCACTGATTACGGCTGATTTCTCAAGAGATGAGCTAAGAAAAGTGTTGAATACCTGTTTGACTGAATGCATAAAGCACCTAGATTCACTAAAAGTTGAATTCAGTGAAGAGAAGCTGGTGAAGCTGGCTGAGACGTGCATGACGAGCAAGAACGTGAGAAACGAGCGTGGCCACTTTGCAGAGATGCTGTGTGGCGTGCTAAATTCACGAAACAAGGATTTCAACCTGAATGTTGTGAAGATGCCTGGTGGATCACTGGGTGATTCAGTTCTGGTTGACGGTGTTGCATTTGAGAAGACATTCACGTACGCTGGATACGATCAGCAGCCTAAGAGAATCGAACACCCTCTCATTGCGTGCATTGATGTCGAACTAGAATGGAAGAGTGAGAAGGAGAATGCTGAAATCAGAATCAGCAGCACGGAAGAGTACAAGAAGGTGGTGGATGCGGAATACGCGATATTGGAGGAGAAATTGGATGATTTGATCAAAAGTGGGGCCAATGTTGTGCTAAGTACCAAAAGTGTAGGCGACTATGCTACTCAATATTTTGCAGCAAAAGGCGTCTTCTCATTGGGGCGAGTTGGAGACCTTGATAAAATATGCAGGGCATTTGGTGGTGCCGCATCAACAACCACGAAGTATCTGAGTGTGGGACAGGCAGATCTGTTTGAGGAGAGGCAGCTTGGAAACACGCGATACAACTACATCAGTTCATCAAAGACGAATGTGAAGACGCTGATATTGAGAGGACCAGGAGAAGAAGTCGTAGAGGAGGTTGAGAGGGCCATTCACGACGCAGTTTGCGTCGTGAAGAAGGCAGTGAGCTCACAGGGGATTCTGACTGGTGGTGGATCAGCTGAGATGGCAATGAGCACAGTTTGTAGGCGACTGTACCAAAAAGCAGAAGGAAGAGAGAAATCGCTCTACAGGGCCATTGGGGCTGCATTTGAGAAGATTCCAGTTCAACTGGCTGAGAACTTTGGTCTGGATCCGATCATTCAGATTCAGAAACTCAGGAAGATGCATGCATCTGTGAATCACCACTATGGAATGACACTCTTTGGACCAGCAGACATGCATAGCATTGGCGTGTTTGAGCCAGTGGACGTGAAGAAGAACATGGTCAAGGCGGCATTCAGCACAGTTGACGTGATTCTATCAATCAATGGAACACTCATCAGTGAAAATCAATCTCAATAAAATGTTTTGAGCCCAGGCAAATGAACTCGTTCTATTTCCCAATTGAATTTGTCTATGAAGACGGATTCAGAGACAGGGACGAATTGGTGGAAAGAGTGGGAGAGATAGAGCAGTTGAAGATTGTGGATGAGCTGTTCTTCAGCAACCTGATTCTCTCAATTCAAAGGGGAGAAGATGTCAAGAAGTTTGTTAGGCAGTTTTGTCCAAAAATGGATTCGATGCTCTGTATAACGATAGAGGTGAGGATGAATGAAAGTGAGACAGAAGAGGAAATGAGCATTGTGTACAACAAGGAGACACTTTCTGAGCAAATTGAGATGCTTCTCTACAGCTGTAGAAGAAGGTGGGAGAAGACCATTAGAAGTCATTCTGGGCTGAATTCATTCACGAGTTTGTTCAAAACACCCTATGCAACAAAATGCCTGGCAGATGCGTATTATTATACGAAGAACTTTAGGATGGCTGAGCAATTTTATCGGAAAATTGTAAGGAACTACGCGTTGTATACGGACAGGATGATAGGTCTCTGTGGTCACCAAAGAGGATCAGATACAATGACGATATTCGCAGCAGACATATACATGGCAAATGACGAATATGACAAGTTGTACGACTGTAGAAAAGTATGTGGAATCAGGGAGCTACGAGACGCAATTGAGCTCCATCTGTTCCGTAACCTGGAGAAAACGCAGTTTGGAACAGCAAAGCAGCTTGTGATCCTCTACAACCTGTTCAAGAATAGTATTAGCATAAACAATAGAGACGAAACAAACAAAATGTATAATTTGTTTGTTCAAAGTATAAATAAACTTAAGATGCATAAATCAGAAGAGGAGAAGAGAATGTGGAACAGAATCATCGAACGAGCCACTGCCGAATACAAAGAAAGCAGCATCGATAAATAGTTTAGTGCAAGAATGGCTACATTCCGTCTGCCTTGTCAATTTGGTGGAGCATCTGCCTCATTGCCAACTTTTTGTCGACTGAATCTGCATCCAGACAATTCACGCGCTTTGTGACCTCCTCGTTGTAGATGTGGTCTCTGATGCGCAGTTTCATCGTGAACTCTCGTCCCACAACTCCCTTCACTGCCGCAGCCACCTCGTCCAAATCGGTCTCCCTCAGCGCATTCAGCTCCTTTGCGCCCATTCCAAGCATTTTCTGTGCTGCGTTATCGAATGCCGTCATCCAAAACTGCCCAGTGAAGTCGCTCACACACATTGTGACCATGTACCTGTAGCCGCATTCTGCGAATACCTCGTTGCATTTCTCACACCTGAATTCCCCATTCTCCTCCTGAGTCACCTTTTTGGTGCATCCGTCACTTGGACAGGACGTGTAGAGCAGCTGATCCTCTTTCACGAAGACAACTGTCCCCCAAATCACCCCAAACTCGGCATTGCTCTCAATCAGATCACCAATCATCTGCCTTCTCCCAGACGCCCTTGGCTTCTCAAGAACGACGTTCTTTCCCACTGTCTCGTACCACGCTGTCAACTCAACCACTTCCCTGATATCGTGATTCACCAGAATCTGGGCACTTCCAACTGATCCAAGGGCGATTCCGTTGTATTCTGATGCCCTGAATCCCTTGAACACGGCCACAGTCCCCTTCTCGTAGTCACCAGCTGCCTTCTCTCCCCAAAGTGTCACACGAGCACTCCCTGTCTCATCATAGACCACCATGTCTCTCTTATCAACCTCCTTGCCACTGCTCTTCACCGTGATTGTCTGTGATGGATACACCTCCTTGATCACAGCCACCACGTCAACCAGCTTATTCGTCTCTATCTCAGACACCTTCTTGAATTTGAAGCAGTATTCTGGCATTGTGGTGTCATCTATGAGTTCAACCGTGGACTTCTCTTCCAGGTGGATCTCATAGTCGAAGTTGTTGCTGCTGTAGTTCTTGTTGGCCATCTTCACCACCCCCTGTGTGAATCGATAGACGCGATTGTTCTCAATCAGTGGATGAAACTGCTCAACTGCACTACCAAAACAGACGACCTTGCATTGCTGCGTGTGATCGATGATCTCAAACGAGAACAGCTGCCCCTCCCCATTTTTGGTGTTGAACTTCCTGATCGTGGATTTGTCAACAACTCGCCCACGAACAGCCCAGCTGTTCAGAAACGGATTCAGGTCCCTGATGCTCAGACACCCTGGCTCAGTCGACTTGCGTCTTTTGGTCGTCCTATCACCCTGGACGGTGTTCTTCTTGTTTTCTAACTCCTCCTTCTTCTTCTCTAACTCCTCCTTCTTCTCACTCGTCACACTCACTGGTGATCCAATCTCATGGTCACATTCTTCCTGGGCCAGAATCGTATTCACCAACAGGTAGGTCGTGGTGTCCTTCTGTCTGGTACTGAACAGCCCCAGTCTCACAACCATGTTCTCCTTCAGCTGCCCATTCTCAATCTGCATGCTCAGCTGTGATGAGAATATTCCCCTTGCAAAGTGTCTTCCATCACTCAGATTCAAGTAGTAGCGCGACTTCCCATCCTGCGTCTTGATCTTCACCATTGCATTGATTTGGACTACTGGATCCCTGTACAGTTCATCATCCTTCTTGTTCTGGATGAGTGCTAGTATTGTTCCATGCCTGACTTCCATTGGGGTAAAAAGTGACTGGAAATGACCCATGGAACACGTCTACTACCGTGGAACAGATGACGTGGATGAAATAGCAAGAAGGAATCCAGGATATGTCAGAATATACGCCAGAAGAAGTGTTACCAGTCTAAATGGAATACGAAGAGAGACAATCAGACTGATGGAAGGTGGAAGCAACAAGTCAGATGACATCCTGTACATTGTGAGCCAGAATAAGCACGAGAGCATCTCTGACTATTTCCCAGTAGCAATGAAAGTGGACTATACGATGAATAGTCCAGTAGGAAAGAGAATCAAACACGATGCACCTGTTGAAATCAAGAAGACCAAACAAACCAACATTCTGAGCTATTTTGTCAAAAAGCAGTGATTGATTAATTCTCAGCTATGTCCTGCAGGTGCTTGTCTATTTCTGGCCCATCGAGGACTCTTGTTCCATTCTTGCCCAGAACAGTCACGCTGATCTCAGTGTGTTCTGCTTCTCGCCCCACACTCTGCAACAGGGCACTTATTCCAATTCTGATGAGATCTGCTTCAGGGAGTCCCCTCTTGTAATGCTTCTCTAGAAAAGTGGTCATTTTTGACTCATCTTCTCCTGATGCACATGCAAACATCTCGTAGTCAATGGCTGATAGATCGGTGTAGTAGAGTCGGAATGAGTCATTGACTGGGCCAAACACGTGGGCAGCAAAGGCAGGGCATCTCACGTAGCTTCTCTGGATGTAGGCCTGATATTTATCAGCCAGGTTTCGTACAAAAATATCAGCTGAGAGGGGACATCCCAAATTGTACTCCTTGGTTGATGCCAATTCAGTAGCATTCTTGATGACCTTCATTACGTCACCATAAATGCCAGTTATTGCGATCCAAATTGTGTCTGACACCCTGTAAACCAGGTTGATTTCCTCCTCCTGCAATTTTGCCCTTGGAATCCGCTTGTTTACGACCACAACACAGTCATCCGATGTGAGTGTGATGAGCTGTGTGGATGCATTCACTGCTGTTAGAGCGTATTCCACCTGTGCAATCTGCCCATTGCTGTCGAAAATGTGGTAGAGCTTCTCTGTTATTTTATTCATTGTTAGGGCTATTTTTGTAGTAGATTTTTCTGATTAGTGCTGTGAATTCCTTATCCAGGTATTTGTCGATTATTTTGAATAATTCTTGTTCTGGGTGTGTTTTGGTGGAATATTGCACTGGTTGATAATGAGAGAGGGTGATAAACCGCATATTTGGATTCAAGTCAACGAGGGTGTTCAGGTTGTGTGTGATGAAGAAGACGTGTGCATTTGATTTGAATAGTTTGATGAGAGTGGTGGATGGAATTGAGACTTCATCAACCAAAATGAGTGTGGAATTGGTGATATTGGTTGGAACTGATCTGGTTGAATTGTAGTGGATTATTTGGTTGAATTGTGGGATGGATGAGTTATCAGAGGCTGGAATTCCTGCACCAAGGCTGTTTAAGATGGATTGCTGTGCTAGATTGGTGCAATAGGTGCTTTTTCCAATTCCATTTGGACCAGTAATGGCAACAAATGGCCGTTTGAAGGTGTAGGATGTTCTGATGGTGTTGATCTTCTCTTGTTGAATGAAAATGGGCTGTGTGTCGTGGATTGAGATGGTGTTGGATTTAGTGGCAACAAATTGGTGTGTTTGATACTTCTCATTGAATTTGTTGATTGCGTAACAGACGTCTAATTCTGCTACTTTTTGTATTGCATCTGAGATGAAACTTAGGTGCTTTCTGTGATTCTCTATGAGTGAGTAGCAGTGTTTTCCAACCAATTCAATAATCTGATCAAGGGTGTGTTCAATCTTACAATTGATTAGATCCAATTCACTGCACCTGTATAGCGCATATTGCTTATTCTGTTTGTGTATTTTAAAGGCATCTAAATTGATTTTGAAGGTGTTTTCTACTGTTTTGTTCTGTTTGAAATAGCAGTGTGATAATTTGCCTATTGCTTTTGAATCAGGGAATCGAAACACTTCGAGATTGAATTGAGATGTTTTGTCTGTGAGAAATGCATCCAGCTCTCTTGTGTTTTCCTTGTATATTTTGACTGCTAGATCGAGGTAATCGTTGATTCCAGGCTGTACCATATTGACTATGTTGTTTTCATAGATTCGTTTTTCATTTGGTATGAAATCAGGTTTGATCAATTTGTAGAGACATTCCTGCAGTTTCACTAATTCATTTTGGTAGATTGTCTCAATGTGCAATTCTTCAAGCAGTGAATTCAGAGAAATACACCCGTAAACCATTGATGTGATATTAAGTATGAAGAATGATATGGAACCATACTCTGTTAAGGACATGGATGCGTTGAGACTGAGGGGATTCTCTTCAGATGTGTTGGTGTTGGTAGTTGATTCATCACTGAATACTCCACTTGTGATTATTTTGTGTAAAAATGGCATTTCATCAAGAATATTCCTGATTTTGAATGATTCTTCTTTAGAATTGTGCAATTTGAGAGCAATGGCTCTTCTGTTTAGCGTGTGATCTGCATCCGTAATGATGTTCTTGAGGTTGTCTTGTAACAAGTGTTTTCCAACAATGGTTCTGACCAGTTTCATCTTGGAGAAGATGCAATTATTGTGGTTAAAAAAACCAATATCAGTATCAGGATCACTTCTATAGTTTCCAGTGGTTATGGGACATCTAAAATCACAAATAATCTCAGTCATACTTGCATAGATATCATTGAAGTCAAATTCGCTCACAACAACCTTACAAGTGAAACCCATATTCCTATTATTGAGTATTTTGTATAGTCTTGAATTGACAAATAATATCGTACATTTCAGCTGATTTGCATCAATATCAGTTATCTGCTCCTGTTTGATCACCTTATACACCTGATTAAGATATACCACAAATAGTTCATTGGTATTATCTCTTATTGCAACTCCAATATATTTAGTCATGCATAAACAAATTACGAATTTATATTTCATTTAAGCTTAACTTGCATTTTGTTTACAGTGACCAAAGTGTCAAGTTTTAGATGTTTGTAAACATCTTAAACCCCCCTAAATGCCAGTTGATGAATCAAAAAATTTGGCATTCAATGACCAGGTTGCGAGCATCTCAGTTAATAAGAGAATGGCGTACGAAGATTACATCGATATGGATGCGTTAGACTGTCGCATTAGCTACAAAGTACAGGAAATGTTGAATGAGATTGAAAATGAGCTGATTATGGAGAGCACCCATGTGCTCTACAACGAACACGGCAACAAGAAGACCAGAGCGTATCTGCACGCCTTTAGATCACTGGAAATGAAGACAAACTGCTTTCAGAATGCAGAAGAAGATCTGTTTGAAATCGATGGAGTAAAGGATGCAATAATTGAGCAGATGATGGAGTTTGAAACCAACGATGCGCTAGTTGTCTCAATCAAGCGAAAGAAAATCAAAGACAGGTTCATTGGAATGGACAAAGACTCTGTCTTTATTGAGTCACTCGATGGGAAGACACTTGAATACACGTACAGGCAAATAGATGAAGACGGCATCAAGTTCGAAAAAGAAATCTAGTGACACCAATTGATTTATTAATGGATTTGGCTAACTGTATTTTCCACCCATGTTATTGTTATTGAAAAACAAAGAGCTTATTCTAATATTCATGGTATCGTACATCGTAAAGACGTACTGCATATCAAGAGGCAATGCACCAATATGGGATGAGTCACACTTTGGGAAGTTCGCATACAAGTACCTAGCAGGCCTATTCTACTTTGACGTGCATCCACCACTTGGGAAAATGATTACGGCATTTGCTGGCTGGCTCAGTAACCAGCACGAGGCAAACTACGATTACGAAAAATACAGTGAATACCCCGTAAACTACGATTACGCGTTGAACAGATCACTTCACGCGGCAGTTGGCTCGGTTGTGCCTGTGTTTGGCTATTTGATTTTAAGACTATTTGGTTTATGCAAATCAAAGAGTCTTATGGGAAGCATGTTGTTCATTTTTGATACAGGAATGACCATGATATGCAAGATAATCGTCCTAGACTCGCACATGCTTGCATTCACAGCACTTACATCCTATCTCATGTGTAGATACCATTTTAGCACAACATTAGAACAGAGAAACAGACTTCTGCCTGTGATAGGGCTGTCTCTGGGATGTACGATCTCCATCAAGTGGATTGGATGCCTTACAACCGTCTTTCTTGGCGCATATATCGCATCACAGCTGCTTGTCATTTTTTACACAAAGAGTCTCAGACTCTTTTTCAAACAGCTTGCTCTCTGCTCCCTGTTTCTGATTGCACTGCCATTTGCCATCTACTTTGGTCTCTTTCTGATTCACTTCCGCATCTGCAGTGAAACCACCGCTGATTCTGCTTCATTTTCCAAGGAATTCAATTTCAGGCTCAAAAAGAATCCCTACGAATCAAGTTACAAATATGTCACATTTGGTAGACAAATCACAATCAAATTCCCAGGTGGCTACCTACACAGTCATCCACACACGTATCCTGATCACCTGAATGAGACCAATATGCCAAAAGAAGAATACGCAAAACACCTTCAAGTAACGGTTTACAAGCCCAGGGATGAAAATAACGTCTTCTTTATGCAACAAATTGGAGAGGCACCAGTTGTCTCTTTCGTGAAATTTGGTGATGAAATAGCACTGTTGCACAATGAGACAAAGGCGTACGTCTCCATTGAAGGCGCCGCTGCTTTCACCACCAAAGATCTTCGTGTTACGGCCTATAAGGGCAAAGTGACTGAAAACTGCATCTTCGTTGTTGAGAAAGAAGAGGGAACTGGAACTGGAAATATCGAGGCAATGTCACCATTCAGACTACGTCACAAGGCAACAGGGAAGTATTTGCGAGATTCACTCGAAGAGCTCCCAAGTTGGGGATATTCTCAAAATGAGGTGGTGGCCTCAGAATCCAACCAGAATTCCAACGTGCTGGTTGAAGAGAATCACCACAGTGAACCAGATGGAAATGAGTTGTTGCAGTTCAAAAAGAGAAGTTTCATCTGGGACTTCCTGGAAATGCAGAAGCAGATGTTTGTGGTGAATCAGGGGCTTACGACCAGTAGGGAACTTGAGCCACATCTGATTGAATCCATGCCACATCAGTGGTTTGTGCTTACCAAAGGCGTGAGACTGGTGGGATGGGACAACACATACCGCTACTACCTGCTTATGAATCCAGCACTGCTCTATTCCACATCAGTCTCAATCATCTACACTTTATTCAAGCACATCATCAGCTTCCTGAAATTCAAACGTGCCCAATTTGAAGGACGGGCCAAGATGACAATGCACCATTATGCAAACAAGGAGCTCTTTTCGCTCTACTTCCTCATCGGTGGATTTCTATTTCACTATGCACCCTGCTTCCTGGTAGATCGAGTCATGTATCTGCACCACTACTTCCCAGCCTACTTCTTCCTGATTCTGAATCTGATCATCAACATCAGAAAGTGGCGCCATTTCAACCATTTTGTGCTGCTGATTATTGGCTTCTATATTGCATACTCGCCATTGTGCTACGGAATAAGCCACACTAATGGACTCGCCAAACTGAAGCTGCTTCCTGGGTGGAATTTCATAGACTGATCTGTAATTCAATAGTGATTAGTATGATTTCGTATCTGATATTTGGGGTGAAAATGGAACAAATTTCACGGTGGAAACTGTTCTAGAAAAAGGAGCGAATTCCTTAACAAAATTTATCAGCCCCCAGTTATGATTGAAACAATCAACGAACAGCCACAAACGACCGATAATCCCGCAAATTACGATTTGCCAACAGAGCAGGAGTACGAGGAGGAAATCAACAAGTTAGAAAAGACATTCATTGGATCCATATTCCCTATCAGCAAAAAGGAGGCACCGAGAGTGCTCATGGCAGCAGCCATGTACTTCTTCGTGAGTCTCGTCTACTCGTTTCTGCGCCAATTCAAGGACAACGTGATCTACGACATCCTGACACCTGCTGCTGGAAACTACCTGAAGATACTCGTCTTCTTTGTCTCATTCTTCGTAATCAACACAATTTCAAGCACATTCAACAAACGAGGCATAAACAAGGGTGCAGAAGTGTACATTTTGTTCATGGCCCTGAGCCTGGTGGGATTCTCAATTCTGGTTTTTGTGAAGGACTTCCTATGCCCAATTGGCTGGGCAGAAGAGGTGCTACTCTCCCAGAAGTACACCATCAGGAAGCTAGGAACATTCAAGGCCATTCTGCCCCTTTTCAACCACTTTGTGATGGTGCTCTACTACGTGCTATCTGAGGCACTTGGCTCTGCACTGATGAGCTTCGTCTGTATGACGTACTTCGGAAGCAACCTGACGCCATTCCAGATGGATCGATACATCCGAATCGTCTACATTGGTGCAAATCTGTCTCTTCTATGCACTGGATTCCTGGTCTCTGCCATTTCGAAATGGGCTGAGAAAACAATCAGAACCCGATTCAAGTTCGCCTACTACGGGTTTGCATTCGATGGACTCGCCTGTCTCCTCTTCCTGATCTACGGAATGAAGAAGCTGCTGGACAAGGAGTTTGCTAAGGAACTGTACCAGGGGGCGTCAAAGAAGGTAACAAAAAAGAAAGGAAAAGCAAAGATATCAATGGGTGACTCAATCAGAATGGTCTTCCAGTCGCGACTGCTCTTCAACATGGTTGTGATGTCACTTGGATACAACTTTACGACAGCATGTGCCTCCTCAATGGCCTCCTACGTCTATACGGCATATGCTGAATATTTGATTCAGAATCCATCAGCAAACAATACGCCTGGCTTCGTGCCAACCAAGGCGTACATTGGGATGCAGTACAAGTCGTTTGAGACGACCTACGTCTCCCTCCTGGTCATCTTCCTGATGCTTACGCCGATGTTCATGGGGCTGTTTAGGAAGTTTGGCGTCTTTTTGTTTGCACTGGTTACGCTTCTTTGCTGCCTGATTCCAACCATCATCTCCGCTTTCTTCGCAACCATGAACTACCCATTCACCCGATACAACGCGAAGGTGATGTTTGGGCTAGGAATGAACGTGTCTGAGCCAAAGTTCCAGATGGAGGCACTCATGGCTGCTCTTGGAAACGTGGCCATCAAAATTGGAAAATACGCCTTCTATGACGTAGTGAAGGAGGGCGTAAGCGTGCGAATTGATCCAGCAAACAGGGCAGTTTACAAGGGCATCTTCGATGGAGTGGCAGCAAAGGGCGGAAAGATGCTGGGCTCCTTCTACATCATTCTGGCACAGCAGATATTCGGAGTGAATGATGCAAGATGGTTCTCGCCACTTACTGTCATAGTCATGTGTCTGATTTCAGTGCTATGGCTCTTTGCCATTCTGAGTCTGCATCCAAACTACAAGAAGGCATCTCAGACGAAATGCTTCTTGGATGACACCGTTGCAAAGAAGACAAAAAAGATTCAATAAATTACGAATTGAAGTTAAGTTATTTGAAATGGCCCTTAATATGCATGAAATAGATAAAGAGGAATTAGGTGAAGATGGATTGGATAGAGAATGGCGGAGACTGCTCAGGAACGAGTTCAACAAGGAGTATTTCATCCGAATTAGGCAGAGACTCCTTGGTACAGAGTATTTGCCAGCAGAGGGGAATTTGTATGAATTCACAAAATATACCAGGCCAAATGAGATTCGTGTTGTGATAGTGGGCCAGGATCCGTATCAGAGAAGTGAGGAGGCAACTGGAATGGCATTCTCAGCACCAGTGGGGAATAGGCGAATACCAAGCTCATTGAAAACAATTTATAGGGCAATTCAAAGAGACTATCCAAATTATGAGGCACCAAAGTGTGGTAATCTGAAGAGATGGGCTGAACAAGGAGTGTTGCTGCTGAATGATACGCTGACAGTGGAAGAAGGCTGTCCGGGATCACATATTGGAATTGGATGGTCCATTTTTACTGATGAAATTGTTAGAAGAATATGTGATTTGAATGAATGTGTTGTCTTTCTGCTGTGTGGAGTACAGGCAAGAAGCAAGGCAAACATAATAGATAAAAGAAAGCACCATGTGATTGAGACAGTTCATCCATCACATTATACGGCAGTCAAATTCATTGAATCACAGAATTTCCTGAAAATCAACGAGTTTCTTAGGAGGAGAAAACAGGCTGAAATAATTTGGTGAATTTTAGGGGCAAAATGCTACTGGATCAGCTTGAAAAATTGAGGAAGAGCAGAAAGACGCATATTCGCACTGGTAAAGGAAGAATACGCCTCATAAAGGAGGATGACATGGATGCGGAGTCTATTCTTGGTAGAATAGAGCATAAACACAGATTATTTAATTCAAAGAGTTTGCGATTCGATAGACACGGTCTCAGTGAATCAGAAGAGAAAAAATTCAACAAAAAAATAAGGAAATTCTTGAATGAAATGCACAAAAAGATGGAAGACGAGGACATAGATTACGTATTGGAGTATTTGGTGCGTATATATAGCATAGATACGTTTAATACTGAAGAGTTACTACTTCTTCTGCTACCATATGAGAGATATGCTGATCAAATTGGAATTCTTACACATAATCAGAATGTTGAAATCAAAGAATACAACTGGAATCAAATTACAAGATATTTTACACAAAGCAACAGGCATTTTGATACATTTGTTGCATACTTCGATCACTACAATGAAATCAGCAGTTTCTTGAATAGTTTGCTTCTTAAGATAGCAACCACTATAAAGCACACTAAAACAGACTATTTGGATGAGTTTCTGACCATCTTTAAGAAACTGCACCAAAACAACCAAAATGATCTAATTTGGGAAATATATGATGAGATGCAAGGATATTTCAACAGTGATGAATTCAAAACCGTGTTAAGTGAGTTGATGAATAAATCACTTTAAAACAGTCACTATTTCTTTATGTTACACTTGATGTACGATAATTCATATCCCTGAACTTGAATGTTGATTGAATTGCTGATAATTTGCTGTTTGATCAGATCCATATAGTGCTGGTTTATTTCTGTGATTGTTTCTTCCTTATCTGTCTCTCTAAATCCTATTTTTATTGCAACTTGTTCTCCATCACCTTTGATCAAACAGGTGTAGAAATACTTGATTTCGTATCTTTTGTCAGAGAGCCTGAGAAACAGTCTGTTATAGAACTTGAAATATTCTTCAAAGAAGTTGTAGATGACCACTTCGTCGTCTACGTTCAGAGAAATTTCGTTGAAGAACAGTTTCGTAGATTCAGAATGGTTTCTGCAACATTCAGGCATGCTTTCTGATGCAGCAATGATATAGAAGTCGCCTATAAAAATTCTATTTTTCACAACGTGCAGCTTGTGTTCTTTTAGTGCAGCAAATTCGCTTCTGTGACAGGACCAGCAGTCAATCAGCTCCTCCCAGTTATCATGAGGCAGTTTGTTGACTCGATTGTAATCAATTGGCTTATTGTGTCTGCATTTGTAGATTACTGTTGTACTTTGATTATTGATGCTGAATCTAGTTTGACTGTGTGCCTTATAGATGGTGTAGGATCCGTTAACCTCTTTGTTTAATACTTTGAACTCTTTACAGTCTACTATTTCATCATTTGCAGCATGTATGAATAGAATGTGTGTGTTTTCAACACACTCCAAAAACATCCCAAAAATTTATTTGAATTTTTTGATTTCTTCTTAGGCCCACTCATCTCATTAGCAAGTGCCCTTTTCTGATTCTCAAACTTAGCTTTATATTTCGTTTTAGGTGATGTTCCTCTACTCTTTTTTGTCTTCAGGGTTACGTTTCTCTTGACATCGCATGTTGTGAAGTTCTGCTCCAATTCCATTAGCTTCTTGTACAAGACAGTGCATTCTTTGAGTCTAAGAAGTACCAAATTCTTTTCAGCTTCTTTTCCTTTTCCCTCGAGATATAGTGAATAATTGAGCAGATAGTGCTTGAGAATTTCAACCTTTAGACCTTTTGTCTTTAATTCTGCATCTTTTATTGCCTTTTTGATCTCATTAATGTCTTTTAGTTCATCAATTATTTCTGCTTTCGTCATTTTTGGGTATAAAATTCTCTATATTTTATTAGACCACCTTCTTTCAACTTAAATGGTATTCTTTGCTCTACTAATCACATAAAACAAACTAGATTTTGCCTATCATTTGTCCACCCCTTTTTAATAGGCACCATCATTGTGGTTTAAACCTCTCACTGATACCACGTGTGGATTCTGTTACAAACAAGTTCAATAATTTGAGTATGCACAGAACACTGTGTGTTAAGTCAAATAAAAAATGTATTGATCAATATGCCTTTTTTGGCTCCTTAAATACGTTCAGAAAAACAACCCCTATGAAACTACATAAGATCAGAATTATAGTTGTTGCAACTGCAATCATATCATTATTGGTGTGTTTTGGATTTATGATATGGTATTTGAGGCAATATAAGTTATCAAAGGATGCAGAGACTGGGGATCGGAATGCCATTAAGAAAAGGAAGAAATCGAAGTTAAAGAAGGATTATAAATTACAGAAAATCGATGGATTCCATAAAACAAATGATTATACGATCAATAAGCGGTACAATATACCAATAAACAAAGTAAACATCCAGAAAATCGCCAGCAAATACAAAAGCCGGCTTATAAATTACTTTCAGAGAGCAGAATCAGTGGAAAAGGGCATTTCTCAAACTATACAGGACAAGATGAGTATGATCTGCTCTATAATAAACGGAAAAGATGTTTCAGAATTCAAATTGCAATTGAAACATATTCTGGAGGAAGACAACTTCTGGCTTTCAGGTTACCACTCATTTTTCCTACCAGTGTGTTCGTTGGAAAAGAATTGTGTGGGCTATAGTGTTGCACCAGAGTTCTTCATGCTATGTAAGTCAGATAAGGCATATATGGAACGATTGAACACTATAAAGGAAACATTGATCATATATTTAACCAAAGAGTATGATCGCGAGGTACTATTAAGGGCTATACCAAATGAAGATAGTATAGTACAGAACTATCAAATAACTGTGATGTCATACGCACAGTTTGGGCTGAGGAAAACGGCTGATGTGTTACAAAAACACCAGCGGAAGTGGCTATTGCTTTACGCAATAGACTATTATAGTCTGTATCGCAAGGATTATCGAACAGTCCTGCAGCGAGTACCAGAATATATGATTGCGTAAGAACCGGATAAATTTATATAATCGCATGTATTATCTAATTGTTTCTCTTCCTCATTGCCTTCCTCTTTGCTTGTCTCTTTCTCATTCTTTTCTTCTTCCACTTTGCTCTCATTGGGGTAAAAATTGATAAAATTTCAATAGGCAAATTTATACTTGCATAAACAAAACAAACAAATTCCATCACCTACTTCTCAAACATGGATTTTTGCAGTGCCTCCTTCAGGTCTTCGTCCTCGTATTCCGTTTCAGTCAGAAATCCATAGATCTGGTCTTCTACGTCTCCATTACCATCGAGTACCAGGAACTTCACTGTTTCAAGCTGTAACTCAGACTGTGCCATTTTACCAAATTCAATGGCATCTGCGAAGCAAATCACTTTGATTTCCACGCCTTTGAATGCGATTGTTGAGATCTCCACAAGGAGTTTCCCAAATTCATCGATTTTACTTGACAAAAATATTAGCAACCTTTTGTTGCTTAATTCACTAAGTTGCAATGCCTGATCTGCTTGATAAAGTGCCAGACTGTGGCCTGGCTTCTTATACAGGTCACAGGCCAATACGAAGTCAACCAACAGCTGCTTGTTCTCTGTTGGTGTCACAATACGATTCTTTACGTTCTGGAATATTGGAAACACACCAATCTTGGATTCCTTGCCCATTTCAAACACCTTGTTGATTATGTTCATTGTAGCATCCTTCTGTATGAAGTATCTGCTTGGAAGATAGTCCTGGTTCTGAGACTGAATCCCATTGTCTAGAACGATAGCAATAATTTCTGGCATGGGCATGCAAATAAACAAAATAAGATTTGCAGCCATAGTAGTACGAAGAGACAATCTAATGTATCTGTTCTACAATAACACAGGCGCATTTGCTGTAGATGCATATGAACCAGCACTAATAAAGGCCATGTTGTCCAGAAAACTGGAACATGGTAAGGTTTACAGTAAAACCAGTCTATTTAACCAAGAAGAATTGGAAAGAAGTAGAGAACTGTATGCAGCAGACACTACACATCACCATTTCGACCATAGTGGTGGAAATGAGGAACTAAGCAAGATGTTTCCAAATGTAAAGTTCTATACAGGAACAAACACATCTGATTATCAAATAATCACATGCATAAATGCAAAGATAAAATGCATTAAGACACCAAGCCATACAATGGATTCAGTCTGCTACGTTGTGGATGATAGATACGTGCTAACAGGAGATTTCCTGTTCAAGTTGGGATGTGGTAAGTTCTTTGAAGGGAATGCCAGTATGTTTGTGGAAAGTGTTAACAAATTGAAGACTCATGTCAGTAAGAATGCAATACTTCTGTATGGCCATGATTACACCCATTCCAACCTGGGATTTGCTTACACCATCCGTAAATACACAAATGAGGAGCTGTCCAAGATCCTTAACACTGAGTTTCTGACCTTTGAAGATGAACTGAATTTGAATGTTTTCTTAGAGGCTCAAAATGAGAAGGAAGTTGAAAAATTACGCAATAAAAAAGACGCCTTCTAAAACAGAAGCTTTACCAAATGAATTATCTGGTTGGCTTCTCCCTTTTGCCCCTCAGAATGGCATTCAGTGACACACCAGCTACCTTGATGATTTGGTACTTGATTCCAGGCCTGTCTCCTACAGACTTGCCGCTTCTACCAAGTGACTGAATGGTTACCTCGTCGTTAGCGTCAAACATCTTCAATGCACCGTCTCCAGGCGCAAATGCAAAGACCGTTCTTCCAGTTCCAATGCATTGGACACGACAGACCTTTCTGACAGCAGAGTTAGGCTGCTTTGCCTCCACTCCCAGCTTGTCAAGCACAATTGCATTTGCCTGTGGCCTGTTACCTATCACAGACTTGTAGATCTTGCCTCGCTGTCTCCTTCTGTACGTCTTATCGTGCGTTCTCTTTTCTTGAGCGATTTTCCTGAGCGCGAACGCAGCAAAAAGTCCCCTCATTTTTGGGCTAAAAAATTTCAAAAAGATTTCCCCAATGAACCACATTTCCAGCCACTACAACGCACAGAAGAACAGGACGATCCAGGAAAGGAAGAACACGGTGTGTTACAACGTGAACAACTTCAACAACAAGCTCAAACGGACACTGATTGGTGAACATCTGCCAAGAAATGCAGATGTACTCGAAATAGCATCCGGAAGAGGCGGGGATCTGTGTAAATACATGAATAGGGGCGTGAATCTATTTGTGGGGCTGGATATATCAAATGTGTCGCTATTGGAGGCGTGTTTGCGACACACTGAAGACAAATTTGACTTCAGAATTAGACTCAAATGCATAGACTGCTTCAATACGCCATTTGATTTAAAGAGACAGTTTGACTTCGTAAGCATCCAATACTCGCTCCACTATGCATTTGCTAGCAAGGAGACATTTGAAACAGCAGCAGATAACATTTCAAAGCACATGAAGACTGGAGCAAATCTAGTTATAACTGTACCAAATAAAAAGGAGATTGTTTACAG